CAACTGCCATGTGATTGGTTGATTAGATAATTGCATTAATGAGAAATTGAACAGGTGTTCCTAATAATCCTTTAGGTGAGTGTATATTGATGTTATCAGATCAGTTAGCTGAGGTTCTTTATACATTAAAAATTGTATTTATTGATCAGACATACAATCGAGAAAGTTGGGTGAGCCAGTCACTGGAGCATCTGGGGTTAAGGGCCTTTCTCAGGGGCCCAACGGTGACATTGAAATGACTCTGCTGACCACTGGACTCAAACAGAGAGTTAAAATGAGCCGCGTATCTAAGGTCTAAGACCTGTAAGATTACAGAAGGTATGAAGCAGGGGCACCTTAAAGGGGGGAAAGTTAGGACTTACCCTAAAAAATATGGAACATAATTGGACTGATCTGGGTTGGGGGCCCAAATAGCGGGGCCCCCCAGTAAAGAGTAGTTGAAAATTAAAGACCCATTCAGAAGAAACTGTAAGTTATCCACCCTTTTGTCCACCAGTTTTAATACCTGCTAATGTAATGGGGGGTTTTGTCCATCCCGACGTAGTCCTACAGGTGCCGACTGCCTGAAAGTTTGCACTTGCGTTCCATTAAGCTGGGAGATGATCCACCGAAACTCCGCCATAGCCACAGTGAGCTTTCAGAAAACTGAAACCGGATCATCAGAGATCCTTCGTTTCTGACAGCGGCCAAATGGAGGCCTTATCAGTTAAATTTGTACCAAAGACACGTCTTTATTTGGAAATAACTAGAATGGAAAAGGGCTCAAAATCAGCAGAATAAGAGGCTGGCAGAGAAGATCATTTAGAAGTGCAGGAAAGATGGAGAAGCGATGGATCCTACAGGATGATCATGACGATCTGGTGCGTGTTTGGCTGGCTACTGGGACACACATCAGGAATAAGAAGACCAGTACCCCAGATATACTTCTGCATGAAAGTGAAACTGTGCATGAAAGCATCTGCTACGTTTCCCCCAGTGTAACACAAAGGCAGATAAAAACCTCTTATTACAGACAGATGTTAGTCTACCACCCGGACAGGAGGGGGCGCAAGTCGGAAGCCAAGCAGCACTCCTTGGAGATCAGGGAGGCATACATAATTCGGGGTAACCGGATTCTGCGTACAGTATAACTGCGATGTTCTGACGCAGGCTGACTCTCAGACAGGAGAGGATTCAGCTCGCCTGCTACAGACCGACAGAAATCCTCCCCATCCTCTCGCATGCCGAGGACGAGCAGTAAGCCCTAATCTAACTTTGATACCTCCTTCTAGGATCACCAGTGGGAGAAGGAGTTACACTGACACCAGCAACAAGTGTGGAAGAAGAAAGAGGTGGGCAACAGAGACGGAAAGTTAAGGAGAATGCGTGAAAGTTACATTTATATAGCGCTTTTCAAGACACCCAAAGCGCTTTGCAGACTAGGGTGACCAGATAATCCATAACAGGGAGCACACTCTGAGCTAGGACAGGAATTGTAAATTACCATTTCAATTAAAAGGACCTGGAATTCACTTGAGCACTGAGTTCTTGCTGTGTGCTGATTGGACAGTCTCCTATAATCGTGCATGTGTCACTAATGCTAATGTGAAACAGCTGGATGAGTCTTTCAGTCAAGGAAACAAACCAGTCAAAGCACGAGAAGAGCTGAACTATTTAGCAGAGCACAGGAGCCTTTCAGTTTGAAATTAGTTTGTAAAACCCGAAGTAGCTCAAAGTGTCCTTCCTGACATGGATTATCTGATCACCCTATTGCAGACGCAATGGGGAGCCACTTCTATCACCCACCTGGTGATGCAATGGGACAGTGCACCCACCACACAGTAGGTAAGGTGCTGAAGAGGCAGGAGATAATTCAACAGTTAGATATAGGGGATGATTAGGAAGCCAGGTCTGAAAGAGGTCCATAGTGGGCAATTTTATCCAGGGCATCTTGGTACCATCCTTACTCTTTCAGAAGATGCCCAAGGATCTTTTATGAACTCAGAGAGTCGGTGCTTCTGCTTTACATCTCTTTAGAAGGACGGCACCATTTTTAACTACCACTAATGCAGAAGGTACTCCCAAGTACTGCGCCATTCTGGGAAAACAATCCTAGTCCTTGAAAAGCACTGTATAAATAAAATGTATTTATCATTATTTCAGTAAAGGTGTTAATAAAAGAAAAATCGTTAGAATCCAAGGATACTTTAGACGTTTGGTGGTAGAGTGTTTGCTCCTAGGACTGCTGTAAAAGACCTGGAACTGGTTTGTCATTTAAAAAATGTAATACTGCGTTTGACCCCCAGATGACTCATTACTTATTTTAGCTTCTGTAGAAGTATTCAACTATTCACAAAGACAATGACTTGAAATAGGAAAGAAAATATATGTACAGTATTCAAGATCACTGAAATATAAATGTTAAAAACTTCACTGTGTACAAAAGCAAAAGACTTGTTTAAACTTCGCTAGATGACATAAGTAGCATAAATGTTTAAAAGTCCACGGAATAATCCACATTAGTTATTCCCTTGTGTGAACACTATAATTCTTCATCAGAGCCAGCAATGATTCACAGAGGTTAATTAGCAAGAATTTATTAAATAATAAATTAAATTGCCAGGGCAATATAACTGACTTTGACAGAGAAACAGACTGTATTAAAAATATTCTACAGTGTTTAAAATTGGCACATGAACACTATTAAATCTTTCACTCACCCAAATGCACAAGCGCATTTCCTGCACAGAAACTGTTGGCTACAGCACGACTCTTTACAGTGTAGAGGTGACCTCAGACACATTTTGGCGTCTGCCCATCAATTAAGTTTGGCATATAAAGAGATCTGAGTACAGCTTCTGAGGGAAGGGATACAACAAGAAATATGTAAACCCATTTCACAACTAATGCACTAGGTGCTCCCAAGTACTGGGGCATTCTGGGAAACCAATCCCAGTCTCAAACCCCAGAAAAAACATGGATAATCCAACATTATTTTTCAGTGGGCATGGCATTTCCACTTGGGGTCTCCATTGATCCATGGAAAAAGGCAAATCAAAAGCTGTTGTTTCAGTTCACATGACGTCAGGCTCCTGGACTCATCAGTTTCAGTGTCTATAAGGCACCCAAACACACTGAACCTGAACAAGACAGCATTTAAGGGTAAAGTATACAGCGACAAAGTGAAATGCATATGGTCTAGTGGTGCTCTTTCTATCACTATTGATAAAGACATAAAAATCCATGCCAACACTGATTCTCTATTTAAATCACTCTCAATTCATTGTAGTGAGGGCCCAAATCGCTTCATGAACCATTTGCAGTATTTTTTGACTCCACTAGATGGTGCCCTTGGCTTGCTTTGGGTCATCCTATGAGCCCTTTTTTGGGGTCAAGAAGTACTACAATTGGTTCTTAGTCATGACTAATTAATTGATCTTACATGCCATGTCCCTAATATCTATTGTATGGCAAAATAAGGGCACAGTGTTTGACAATCTGGTTCCAAACTGGCACTAGGCATGGCAAGGGACCGAGGGGGCAGCATAAACATGTTTTCCTACAAATGAGCAATACATTGGCAAATTCAATATTTAAGCCATAAATATAACAAACATTCATGCTGCAAACACAGACACACAGTGCCTTCCAAAAAATGTTCAGACCCTTAGTTATATGACAGATAATCAAAGCGAAAAGGGCAAGATTGAAGGAGGAAGTTCATTTTTTTATGAGAATCTCCTTGAAAGCTTATTTTAGGTGTATATGGTAACTAAACTAAACTAGCTGTATTGGTTGAGTGGGCCTTGTGCACAACATTGAGATATTTGGATATAATAAAACTTGCTTTGTTCATGTAGGTAATCATCCCTACAAAAAATGATGAGGTGGTTGAGAAAATCAGATGAATGGGGCCTACAGGGGTCAGTGGTCAAGTGAAGAAAACACATAGAGGCCCAGCCTCAGTACAGACAGAAGGTGGCCAGTCTTTAAACAAAATGAGCCACTGGAAAGCTCATGGAGGTTTTGCATACACAAAAATGTTCTGAGGGCAAAAAGAAAAATTGGTTCAGAGAGAGATAACCAATCAGATTGTATAGGAGGTGGGTCCAAGCGACTAGATCAGGTGTGACCAACCAATCAGATGTCTTGGTCCTGCCACCTCTAGTTGCTTGGACCCACCTCCTCAACAATCTGATTGGTTATCTCTGGGCACTGGGTGATGCCACCGTAATAGAGCCCACGGGCACAGCAGAGCAGGGAGGCATGGAGTCATGCGATGGTGATGCGACTCTTTGGCTGAGACTAATGGAAAGCCCGGTATGACTCAACTGTGGCAGGGCCGCAAAAAGACATATCGCTTCTGTGTTCCTAAAGAAATAAAAGTAGTCTTTCCTCTTTCCATTTCCCCATGTGAAACTGTATTTCACGAGGAGTTGGCAGATGCTTTAGTGGAGAGCTGGACAATTTCATTTTTATGAACAAATTGATTTTGTGGAGCACTTGACCATGCAGACAACGCAATGTTTTTATGGACCCAAGGATTCTTGGGAAAACTAAGACGTAAAATGTGGAAATGGGTGTAAATCCCACATTTTGGGAACATTGAGTTTCACATTTTGAAGCAAAAACAGACAGTGACACAGGCGATGAGGAAGATGAGGGGTGGATGTTGATACAAAGGTTGGAAAACCTTTTAACGATCTTTATAAATTTCCTGTTTCATGTCAGTCTGTGGAATTACTTTAAGCTGCTGACCTGAGTTTAAAAAAAAAAGAACTTTAATCACTGCCAGACATTTCCCCATCAAATCTGCACCTCACATGTATAAACATTTATGAAATTAATACATTTAGGCTTTCCTCTTTAGTGTGTGCTGCCATTTACAGTAACATGTATGGTTTATAAGTAAATAATCACTATATCTAATCTTTAAAATTTTAAGCTTTAAAATTGTGTGCACATTGTACTGTAATTTTACAAAATGGGACATTGTACAAAGAGCCAAAATATTTCTGCAAGGCAGTGAAACTATCTGTGATGCAGTTCTCCGTGGCTACGGCCGATTTGTGTGGCTTACATCACAGACACTGGGCAGAGTGATTCTGTCTGGTGTGTAACTGGCCCATTCACAGATGACAGTCAGAGAGGCAGGTTCTGCAGACATTACAGAAAGAGCAGCTCTCTGGAGCAGTTTTCTAGTCCAAACCCTGATGAATTTTGCTCTAGGGCACAGCACAAACACAAAATAACACTCAACAAAAACAATAACAATAACAAACAATAATAAACCATACCAAAATGTCTTTTATAACTGGTCTCTATAATATACTTCAAATGTAAATCATCCCTTACTATATCAACACACACATTCATTACCAAAACCACAGGGCCTGCATTAAAACAAACAAAAAAAAAAACCCGAAAGTACAGAAATTTTGAGAGCAACTTCAGCAACAAACAAAACATTTTAAGATTAATTAACTTCTGATTATTAAAGTGAAATTGTGTCACGTCAGTCATCACTCACTAGACAACCGATACTAGTAAAAATTATCCATTAGCTACTGTGCTGGAACGTTCCGGGTTAGTTTACACTGTATAATGAGTCACTGAAAGCCAAAGCTAATGACACCTGTCTGTGAAGGATAAAGGCCACCCTAATGGAAGAGACTCAAATGACCAGGGGAAAATCCATGGTCATCTTTGTGCAGCTTTTAAACATACAAGAATGCAACAGACCATTCGTTAATGTAACTGAGAGGGTCTTTCGAACAGTGAAAGTGAAAATGGTGCTAGCAGGGCATTTGTCAATACAGGATCGTTTCCTCTTCCCTGTCAGTGTTCTGAGAAGTGAATCCATGACCTTTAAAAGCCAAAGCAGAGGTTAAATTTCATTGGGATTTGGCTGGTGTATCTCAGCCAACTGTTACAAAATGATTTCATTAGGGAACCTTAAGCGGGGGGGGGTGTTATTTTAATAAACTGATATGTGCTGTAAAAAATGTATATTTGGATAACGTCAGTCTTTGTCACCCGTCTTCTACGCGGGATTCTTCCGGAAGCCGAGCCAATGAGGCCTCAGGCTGCCACCTCAATAGAAGGAATACTGATTCTCCACAGCCCGTGCTCTCCTAGTGGTGTCACTTTCATGGTAGTCCTCAGCAGAGCCACTAGGGGGCTCCAGAAGGCGCTCAGAACTGTTGCTGCGGCTCCGCAACCCACTCCCTCCCCCTCCGCCTCCCCCTCCCCCTGGCTCAGTCCGGGAGAAGGGGGGCAGGGCGGTGGGCGAGGAAGACGTGCTGGAGGAAGAGGGGGGTGCGTCCGTAGGGGGGGGCGCTGGCTGTGGGGCTCCAGGGAAGTAGTGAGGAGAATGGTGTGGGTCACTCTGACAGCCTGGGTCTCTAGGGGGTGCTGGGATGCGGGGCGCAGCAGGATCTGTGCGGCAACAAAAAACAGTAACGTCAGGATGGTCCAGCAGGAGAATGACCTGTAAGGACACTGAAGAGCATAAGTTATGCATGCTGGAGGCGAGGCTGAAATTAGTGAAGTTTATGCGAAACATATCTGTTTATACTCCTATGTCTGTATATAATAATAATAATATGAATGATAATGATAATGATAATGATAATAATGATGATAATAATAATAATAATAATAATAATAATAATAATAATACATTGCATTTAGAAACCACTTTTCTAAACCCAGAGACACCAAAAAAGAAACAGGAATGGGAATTAGAAGAAGGAGAATAGTAAGGATTTAGGATGAGATTTAAGATGAAGACAATACAGACAATGTATGTATGTGTGTGTATATGTATGCATACTGAATGTATGTACAGTATATAATATATATGTCTATGCATATATGTTGTGTGTATATTTCTACAGAAAATAATGGTATGTAGATATTTTTCCCAGACATATATGCATATGTATACATGTGTTTGTGTATGCAAGCGCATATAACATGTATAGAGGCATATGCTTAATGTCTGAGTGTGTGTGTGTTTATAGCTAATGGTAAAAGCCTCCTTATATCCGTCTCCTTATACCCAAATTGCACCTTATCATAGCCCAGCTCCACCTGCTCATGTCCAAATCGCACCTTGCTGAAGCACAGCTGCGCCTCCTTATGTCCAAATCGCACCTTGCTGAAGCACAGCTGCGCCTCCTTATGTCCAAATCNAATCGCACCTTGCTGAAGCACAGCTGCGCCTCCTTATGTCCAAATCGCACCTTGCTGAAGCACAGCTGCGCCTCCTTATGTCCAAATCGCACCTTACCGGAGCACAACCCACCTCCTTCAACTCTAACATTTTTTTAACATCCCAAAATGTAGAAAAAGATTCAAAGTGAATGGTTCAATAAAATCTCAGTTTTGCACTAAAAGTCATGTTTTTTCCATCAGCTTTGCTCATTTTCACCTGTGTTTTTGTATTTTGACTTAATCCGCTTACCCACTGCAGCCAAAACTTCACTTACTAGCTAGACTCTGCTGGAGGTACGACGTGTAAGAAATAAACTGTGAATAACTTTATATTTTAATGCATTTTCATGAGGCATCACAAATAAATGAGCAGTAATAGTACTTGTAGTGACGAGCCATTTTGATGCATTTTTAAATTTCATGTATATGTTTAAAAAAGCTCAAATAAGCTTTTCATCATGTTGTATTTATCACTATTTATCATGCAGACTGTGTACATACTGCATCTCTAAGACTGCAAATAAATTGTAATACACTAATGTACCATGTGGCTTATTCAGCACCCCCATACCCAACAGCCCCCTTCGTTGATTCTGCTTTAACCTCTGGTAGGGGGGCTATACTGAGCTGCACAAATAATTACAGCACCATGAAAATGGGTTTCGGTGTCAGCGAGCGGCTCAGAATCTCAGGGCAGCCCCTGTCCCTTAGCCTCTGAGGCTAAGTGATCCAAAAGCGGCAGCTGCGCTGTGCTGTGTCTGATTTCTGGTCCAGTCCCCGTGAAAATGCTGGCTGTTATTAGTGTGTGTGACACAGGAAGCGGAGGAATGTGAAAGAACGAGGAGGTGAGAGGAGGCAGAGAGACGCACGGGAGAGTGTCGGCTTTCCGCTCTGCGGAAGAATACTTCGCGATCCTGATCCATAAACACACGACACCGATAAGCTGTCCTCCCTAAATTTATGACGAAAAAATCTATAGCCAGATCTCTTCTCTTCTGAACTCTTCTCTTTTGAGCGTTGACTGAGTAATAAAAACCTGTCAGTGAGGCATCAAATAGGTGTTTTTCAGTAAATGTGTATCAGGAGAGTCGTCTAGAACATACAAAAGTATGACTTTCTAAATTATTGTGGTGTAAAAACAATAGACTATTGTGTTTTTGAAATAATGCTTGAAATAATGTTTTGAAATGGCTGCTTTGTATTGGTTCCTGTAGACTAGAGGTTCCCAAGTGAGGGTCACAAGGTGATAATATGTTTATAAAAATTTAAAAATGAGAATTCTACCCCGCTCCCTGCCGCTGGGCAAAATGGGGGTCAGGAGTCTGATATTTTGGGGGTCATGGACTGAAAGTTTTGGGAGCCCATCCTCTAACCCTATGTGAGGTGTTCCCTGAGTCACGGCACTTCACAGTGTTCTGCGGCTTGGGCTCCTGGTGTGTCACGTACCCGCAGGACTCCGCTGGGCCTGGACATAGCAGCGCAGCGTGATGTCGGCCGACCCCCCCGACTCCAGCGGGATGGGGTGGGTGTGGAAGTGGCGCAGCATGTCCAGCAGGGTCTGGAACCACAGGTGGTGCACGTGGCACTGACCGTTATCGTTCACGGACAGCCGCAGGTGCTGGGGGCGAGAAGAGGGGCGGGGGGGGGTACGATGGCAGGAGTGAAGACAGCAGCATTGAAGGGGCGGGGGGCATATTGGTCAAGGTACTGAATTTAAAACAAATAAAGGTGCAGCGTGCATGGGGAAAGTCAAGAAAGATGACTAGGTAATGGGATGGCTAGCTGGAGTAGCTGTTTAGCTGTTTAGCTGTTTAGTGCATTTAAAAGGCAGTGCCTTCGGGGGACTGTGTCTTGAAGATAAGCAAACATCACAGGCTTTTCCATGATCAGGCCACAGTTTTATAAACAGAGAGAAAAATAAGGTGGGGAGCCGTTTTCCGAGTTTCCTGTTACAAGGCCAGCGTGTTTCCTGCAGGATCCAGAAGCACTGTCAGCCCCCCCCCCCCCCCCCCCCCCCCCCGGAGTGTGGCTTCCTCCCTTGGCTGTAGGTCTTTCTGCTTCCACAGCGAGCAAATCATTTGCAACACGAGAGCCCCCACCCCCCAGCCCCCAGGACAGCAGAGAGTGGCTCTGGGTGGCTGCCAAAAGATGCCGACTGACACCAGAGAAGGAAGGAATTCTGACTTCCTGGCCATGCTGGGGGGGGGGGGGGGGTGGTTCGCATTTCGCTCAGATTGCAATGCAGGCATCGGCTGGCTTTGAGAGCACAACCCCCACGCGGGTTGGCGAATTACGGGCACCAGGCACCCCTCACCTTGGCCTTGCCCTGGAAGTTGAATGTGAGGACGTACTCTCCCGGCCGCGTCTCGCTCTGCCGGATCACAAAGAGCCCGTGGCTACGAGCGCCACCAGCCAGGACCAGCTGGGCAGCGCGCACTCGCGACAGCGTCCCGTGAAACCATGGGTAGCGGTTGAGATTGCCGTCAGCCTCGGGTTCCTGTGCCCCCTCAACAAGGGCCCCTGTAAACACAAACAGACTGTGAGGAGTCACAGTACCTGACAAGGGCCGGGCCCTCCTTAGACCAACTCTTACTATCCTGCATCTGTAGCTCAACAAGTAAAGCACTGTGCTAAAGACACAAAGGTTGTGGGTTTGAATCCCAGGGAACACACATTAACTGTAACCCTTCCCTCTGCTGTTGCTTAGCATAGAAGCATCAGATGAATGAGCAAAAATGTTTTTCTGTACTCTGAGTCATTCATCAGTTTCACTTCTCCATTATTGTGGTTAGCAGAGTGCAAGTCTGGCTAGAATACTTTTCTCACTACGTTTGCACGGTTGTTCTTATGTTTGACAAAGACTGATTTCACACGGAAGTGGCGCGCAGGAGACAGTCTGCCAACAAATAATGGACTTGCTAATTCAAGACAGAAAAATCAATGTATTTCAATCTAGTGCTTCACAGACTCTAATGCTTCAAGAGCCCTCGCTGTACCCAGCACTGTATATAACCAGAAGCAGACTCCGCCCCACTCCATCATCACTTGGAAATGTTAAGACTTACTAAAAGCAGACTCCGCCCCCTCCACCATCAGTAAGAAGTGCTAAGACTTACTAGAAGCAGACTCCGCCCCCTACACCATCAGTAAGAAGTGCTAAGACTTACTAGAAGCAGACTCCGCCCCCTACACCATCAGAAAGAAGTGCTAAGACTTACTAGAAGCAGACTCCGCCCCCTACACCATCAGAAAGAAGTGCTAAGACTTACTAGAAGCAGACTCCGCCCCCTACACCATCAGTAAGAAGTGCTAAGACTTACTAGAAGCAGACTCCGCCCCCTACACCATCAGAAAGAAGTGCTAAGACTTACTAGAAGCAGACTCCGCCCCCTACACCATCAGTAAGAAGTGCTAAGACTAACCTGAAACTGATCCCGCCCCCTCCACTGTCTGCAGGAAGCGGTCCAACGGGATATGTGAAGGGTGCTCTACGAAGGGTGTTTCTCGGCAACGGGCAGAGGGGGCGCTGTGGTGCTCAGCCGCCGCCGCACAAGGTCGCTCAGGGGTCCGGTGCACTCCTGACGAGAGGGAAGATGACCCAGGGTATTAGTTCCTCCTCCTCACATGACACATGATCATCTTCAGCAAGGTTACTGGACACTTCAATCGGGCAGTGTTCCCTTTAGCCAATGAGGGATGGTGTGGGCGTGTCCACTGAGCTTTTCACGGCGATGCAGCGCACCCTCAGAGAGGAGCTCACAGCTGCAGGAGGACACCATGGAGAAGTCCCTGTGAGGCTGGCCGTGCGGACATGATGCCAACTCAATGTCATCTCCACTGTCCCTGTGACACACAGGTAAAGGAAGCAGTCTGGGTGATGCTCAGACATTAACTGGCATAAATACATCAGTCACTAATTATTTATTAATGTTAATAAACTTCCCCCAACATTATTAGTTGCAGATCAAGGAATACTATGTACTATGTACTATGCTACTTTGTCTACCTGTGTACTACATAGCTACAAAAAAAACAAAGCTCAGTGACACTATAACCTTCTTCCTGACGTCACTGACAAGTGGATTTACCCAGGGTCTATGCAGTCCTGAATATCTGCTACCCAAGAATGCTTCTGAAGTGAGTCGATGGTCTCCAGGATGTACTCCTCACCATTCTCCACCTTTTGTCCCCAAAACAAAAACAAAAAAAGCAATTAGTCATGCTGCTATCTGCCTGGAGCACAGGCGTACTGTAACTGAGGAGTGTCAGTGCACCAAAGAGCCACTGGGCTGCGCTGTAGCTGCTGCTGAATCTGGATCAGACTGGCCTCCAACAATCATTTATCAATAGTGGTCTACTTTGCAAAAATGTGGTGTAATTATCTAAGAAATTCCAGAAAGCCAAAGCACTAACTAATCAGGGGAATGCAAAATGCACATAAAGGACATTAAAACACTGAGATTAGATGAAATGAAGAGCCGCCCGGCGTCTGGGGAGACGACGGTGCAAGTCGGAACAAGTACAGCTACCGACATCCTATTATAACTGCATCGTTATAGGATTTCTCTCTACTTTCCTCTCATTGCCTCCGGTTTAGCCGGATGTCTTGCTTATCGTTACTAAGGAGGCAGAGACGTCTCCGTAAATTCATATCCATGAGAATCGCTTCCCAAAATAAAAGGTGCTGTCAGGAGACCAAGCCAGGAAAAGGAAGAGGAAGAGGAAGAGGAAGAGGAAGAAGAAGAAGAAGAAGAGAAAAGAAAAGAAATCAACAGAGAAGACAGCAGGAACAGTGCATCCTCCCAGACAGGTCAGTCACTCTCAGACAGGTCAGTCACTCCCAGACAGGTCAGTCACTCTCAGACAGGTCAGTCACTCCCAGACAGGTCAGTCACTCTCAGACAGGTCAGTCACTCCCAGACAGATCAGTCACTCTCAGACAGGTCAGTCACTCCCAGAAGGCCATGAATGTCACGCCGGGGCTCAGCTAGACACCATTAATGCGTTTGGACAGGCCTGACATAGACGCAGAACCTGCAGGCCTGACACAGACGCAGAACCTGCAGGCCTGACACAGACGCAGAGCCTAGATTATTCCAAAATTCCACCACTGTAATGTCCGTCCTGTCATGAATGTTGCACTGTGGGTCATCACTCTGTATTGTAGTTGGCTGAGATACCTATTTTACTTGACATGACTTGATGATGTACATGCATCTGTGGTGAACACACACATTCTACACAGTTGCAGTGTTGGCTGGCATGCGATGCAGCTGGGATCATGCAGAGGGGAAGGGAGGCTGTACCTTGAGGACGAAGGTGTTGTCCTTTTCTGGCATCTCCAGAGGCATGGTGGTCCTCACCTCCACGATAGCGGAGAGGGGTACGCTCACTTTGGGCTTTGAGGACTGAGGGGGAGGGACAAACACTGAGAGAACGGCTATGATGTCATCACTACCTGCACTCACTTGACCGCCGTACGAGGCGACACCTCAGCTGCCTTTTGTGCCTCGAGCGCGACTCACTCTCATCGTGACACAATTATCCCCCTGCAGCAACTGCTTCACAATAAAGTGGGAATCCTGCAGCCTAAAGTAGGGAAATTACTGAGCAAGGAGAAAAGCGGAGCTCCAAAGCTGGCGGAGCAAAGACGAAGCCGACCATGGCGGAATGAGCTCGAACACACACACGACAGAGACCAGCATGAGCAGGTACACACACGACAGAGACCAGCATGAGCACGTACACACACGACAGAGACCAGCATGAGCACGTACACACACGACAGAGACCA